AAACTACACAGTTACCATTGCATGGTGAAGCAAAGAAAGCTTATTATAACTAGAATGATTAAATGGCTCTGACTCATTCCTTGTAGCAGTCAGAACATGTGGATCTTGAGGAGGAATGTGAATGTGAGTATAATGGCATGGCATACCACATTTATCTGAAAAATATGTTTAAAAAATGTGTTTGGTTAACCAAGTTATGAACACTTAAAATGCACTATTATATAATGTGCAGTAAAAATGTCTGTCCTTGTTTGTGAACTTTGGTGAGAACATACCAACTTTAAAACTTCTTAAATTTAATGCTACTTCATGCATCTCTTGAGGTAAAAAACAAGCCAAGTTTGAGGTTTGTATTTTCATTACCATGGAAGTGTGTGATGCAACGGGAATCCTCAATTGCCCTGCTAACAGTCCCAGATGGCAAACTGGACTCATGGTACTAGCCCACTCCATAGGCACAAGGTTTGCCATATGGGAGGTACCACCACTGCCATTTTAATCTTCAGTTTAAGGTGATGTCTACACTAGAGGTCTTATAGCGTCACAAGTGTACCCATGCAGCTGCGCTACTGTAAGATCTCCCATTCGGCCGCTCTATGCTGACGGGAGAGAGCTCTCCTGTTGACCAAATTAAACCACCCCCAATGAGCAGTGGTAGCTATGTCAGCAGGAGAGCGTCTCCCGCTGACATAGCACTGTCCACACCAGGGCTTCTGTTGGTGTAACTTATGTTGGTCAGGGATGTGTTTTGTTCACACCCCTGAGCAATATACGTTTTACCGACCAAAGTGCTAGTGTAGACACAGCCTTAATCAGAAGTCCTCTGATTAGCCACAAGATATCTAGCAACATCAGTGCTGCAGCAAGAGGGGCTGCTGTAAGTTTCTTTGGTTTAGTCTACACTTGGAACTTATGTCAGTATAACTATGGAAAATCCACACCCCTGAGCAATGTAGTTATAACCACCAAACCCCCAGTGTAGACACTGCTATGTCAACGCTTCTCCCATTGACATAGCTACTGCCTCTACCGATCGGCGTAGGTAGCATCTTCACTAAGCACTACAATGGTGCTGTTGCAGCACTGTAAGTGTAGATAAGCCCCTACCAGTAGTATGATGTGGAATTACCTTCAGTGGAGCCAAGGAGAGCAGTAGCCAGTTCTGGACGGAGAAGATCCTTGCAAAAAAAAAATAGGTTTATTTTACTCCAAAAAGTAAAATTCAATCCCTTCCCAAACTCTTCAGATGTCAGAATTTTACTGCAAAGAACATTGTTACAAATCACTGGTGTCATGAATATCTTTTATGATGCGTGAACACATTTCATAACATTTATGAAGTATATAAATTTTATTTCTAATGTCTAGTAACATGATAAACTTTCCTGATTTTCAGTCTCATTTATCAAGATCACCAGCATTCCTTGATCAAATTATGGTCTGGTATGGTACAACACAGTGTATTCTATTCCTTAGATAATATATGGAAAAGCATAATCCCATCTGTAAGCAGTTGATATTTTACAGTCATCTTCTAGTTTAAATTGAAAACATGTTTAGTATTATTAAATGCAGAACTGCAACATTTTATAATCAGTTGTCATATGTAAAAAATCATTTATTTAAGCACCATATTGTATTCAATATATACAGCTTGTGCATGTGTCCCCTATTGCCATGTAGTAATATAGTAAAACCTCAGTATTACAAACACCTCAGGAATGGAGGTTGTTCATAACTCTGAAATGTTAGTAACTCTGAACAAAACATTATGGTTCTTTCAAAAGTTTACAACTGAACATTGACTTAAATCAGCTTGAAACTTTACTATGCAGAAGAAAAATGCTGCTTTTAACCATCTTAATTTAAATGAAACAAGAACAAAAATAGTTTCCTTACCTTGTCAAATCATTTTTTTTCCCTTTATTTTTTGGTAGTTTATGTTTAACACTGTACTGTGTTTGCCTTTTTTTTTTTGGTCTCAGCTGCTGCCTGATTCTATACTTCTGATTTCAAATGAGGAGTGTGGTTGACCGGTCAGTTTGTAACTCAGGTTCGTAACTCTGAGATTCTACTGTACTAAACTATGCACATGGGCCTGTTTGTGTGCGCAAAGTGGGAGTAAGGCACCACTATTCTGATTTGTTAGTGTATAATACCCACAGGTAGTTAAATAACTGCATGAAGTGAAAGACAGTGGAGAACCAGGCCCATACATCTCTAATTTTAGCTGAGACTTATAGTAACATTAAAAAAAAAAAAGGCTTAAAAAATTGAAACAAGCAATAGAATCCTGGTGCATAGGGTGTGCTGTGGTCTAGAGGAAGAGGGGCCAGAGCCACAATGTATACACTATGGTGATTCTGGGTGGCACTACTGCTCATAGGAACCTTGTCTTGGGTTGTTGTAGTTTAGGAACTTAAAGCTACTTTTGCCATTGGACTGTGAGATTTGTGATGTGCATCTATAAGATGTAGAACTAAATTACACCCACTGTCTTTTATATGAGAAGTAACATTAAACTCCTTACCACTTATGGCCCCTAAAGATTCCATTGCAATTTTTGCAAGATCCGGAGTGTTGGCCTCAGTCTCCTGGCCAAATTCCAATGTAAATAAATTACATTCTTCCTACTTACATTCCTCTTGCGACTTCAGTTGGGTACAGTACACTTCCTGGTCTTAACTGTCATGAAATATTGTGGTATACTGTTAAACGGCTGTCGCATTCCACCCTAGAGTTAACTGCATTTCAGTGATGGGTGACATGATTAATATAAGAATAGCAGTAAGTAAAAGTGAACTGTAAAGGAAAAAACAGCAATTTGAGCTCTTTTATAAAAATATAAAAAAGGCCTGAAAATACTGTTATCCTCCCAGAAAAAGGTGTTTCCCCCTCCCTCCTTGTTTTTGTAGCATCAGAAGTAAAAAGTATCAGGGGGTAGCCGTGTTAGTCTGTATCTACAAAAACAACAAGGAGTCTGGTGACACCTTAAAGACTAACAGATTTATTTGGGCATAAGCTTTCGTGGGTAAAAACCTCAATTCTTCGGATGCATAGAGTGAAAGTTACAGATGCAGGCATTATACAAATAAAAAGGTTTGTTTCTACTGAAATTGTCCTTGGAGACTAAAGAACTAGAATTTAATCCTTCTCAACCCTCCATCTGAAGGGGCAGATTAATTTTTCACAACAAGATCTTTTCTCCCCACTATTTGTCAGGTGTACAAGTTATTCAATTGGCCACAAACATCTTCTAGGAAAATGCAAGCTATACAAAACCTGATTTCTAATGCAAATAAACAAGCTGGGAAGGGGAATAAAAGGCAATAAGGAGGAGAACAAAAACTAAAAAACCCAAATACACTAACTCTCAAGTCTGTTTTATACATTGGTTGCACTTATAAAGACGCTACTGGTTTGATATTTGGTTAAAAACTTTCTAAACGGACTAAACGTTATGTAATTACAGTATAGTTACACGGTTATGCTTTTTGATACCTTAATTACCACTAATTCAGATGATCAGAAGGTTCACTACATGAATGGGAATAATTACAGTGTAAATTCAATGTAGTAAATATACCTGAATTCTAATAGTTCCAGATGGGTGATAATGAATTCAGCCATGTAATTAGTTCATCTTCTGGATACTGAATTATTGGCAATTAAGTATCAGAAAGCACAACCACAGTGTAATTACACTGTAACTGGAATGAAACTACACTGTGATTAGTCATTGTATTACGATGTCAACTGATATTCTCTATACTTAAAATGAGAAATACAGATAGAACTGATAGAAGTTTTTTATGTACAAAAGAGGGTACAAGCTTTTTTCCCCCTTGCATGACACCCTTGAAGATTCAGATGGCCACTTCATTCTAGCCTCTATTTTCAGTTACTTACAGCTAGCTAAAAAAAAGAAACGTGGTCTTGTGCTGAAATGCCACATTTCTGGCTTTAGCTTCAGGACTAAAGTTTCACAAAAATCTGTAGAGCCACTCAATTATTCAAGTATGAAAAAATGTTTTCTCCGTGAAAAATGTATTCCAAACTTTTTGTGTGTGTGCTTCAAAAATGGCTAAGTTTTAGAACCTCAAGCCTGTAATTCTGCTAGTCTTTAAAACAAAACAAGTCACTATGGTGTCTTTGAAAAATAATTGTAACATTGGAAGGTTAATGTTTCTCACTGGTAACTATTCAATGTGTTATTTCAATAAATTTATTATTGTGATTATTTTTTGTATTATGGCAGTTCCTGAAAGGTCCCCACTAAGATTGGTCAACAGAGTAACATCAACAGAGTAAAAGACAGTCCCTACCCCACATTGCATACAGTCTAGGGCAGTGGTTCTCAAACTATTGTACTGGTGACCCCTTTCACATAGCAAGCCTCTGAGTGTGACCCCCCTTATAAATTAAAAACACTTGTTTATATATTTAACACCATTATAAATGCTGGAAGCAAAGCGGGGTTTGGGGTGGAGGCTGACAGCTTGTGGACACCCCCCCCATGTAATAACCTCATGACCCCAGTTTGAGAACCCCTGGTCTAAGGGCACATCTATACTAGCAACTCTACACATGTCCTCACATGTGGTTGTGCCAAACTCCCTTACTGGCCCCCTCTAAACCCAAGCAGTATGTATCTGAAGATAAGTATAGGGCAAGTAAGCTAGAGTTCCTAAGGGCTATGGGTAAGTACATGCCTCAGGCTGTGGCATGGCCCTGTACCCATGCCAGTGTGCAATGTGGATGGAGGCAAGGGGCGAGTACCAGGTCTTGAATTTCGATAGTCCTCCTCCCACATTCCCATAATGCACTGAACCCTCTTCTGTCTGACCTCACCTGATCTATAAAGGTCCCTGTCCCCAGCCCGTTGTCACCAATAGTAGTGAGCTGCAGTGACCACATCAATTTTCCACTTCATTCCTTTGATCAGTACAAGAGAATGTACATCCTGCTCTGAGAGTAGCTGCTTGGCCCACTGACCACAACTGGGCGCTGATCAACGTGTGGTCAGAGTACGCTGTCCTCCATGACTTCGCCTGGGTCGTCAGGAACGTCAACTTCTACCAGGAAATATCACAGAGACTGGAGCAGGTGGGCACTGAGCAGACTCAGGCCCAGTGCCAGGAATGCATCAAGCACCTTAGGTTCCTGTACAGGAGGGCAAAGGAATCAAACAGTCACTCTGGGAGGGTGCATTGCACATGCTCATTTGATGACAAGCTGGAGCAGGTGTTCTCAACGGTTCCCAGTACAGAGCCTGAAATGGCTCGTGACCCCCTCCTCAACCCTGCCGGCCTCATTGTCCGTCAGGATGGCAATGAGGGCCAGGCTGAGGAGGCAGCAGGGACCATGGAGGATGCCCCGGAAGATCCAGAGGATGATGAACATGTGATTCTGCACTACTATCTGGGAACACCAGTTGAAGAAGACTCCTCTTTCCCCCACACAACGAACCTGAGGAGGAACCCGAGTCACAGCAAGAACCAGAACCAAGCTAGTAAGTTACAATGGACTCCCACCCTTCCTGCCAATATCCCATCTTGTTCTGATGCAACATTCCTGATTTTAAGCCCAGCCTCCACTCCACACCACCCTAAAATGATCCCCAAGCAAGACATGGCTATAAATCAATGGTTTAATTGATTTCCCATGAACCACTGTTATGCATTTGTCAGAAGCTATAAAACAGATTATTAAGGAACAATCATTGTGCTCCTGTGTCCGTGCATTTCTCGGCCAGCAAACAGGCAACAATGGTCCCAGGGCTATATGCAGCAGAGGAATGATGTGGCCAGGTTTAGGAAGGTCCTGGCTGAGGATGGGACAGTTTTAGAAAACTTATAGTGGATTGTCTAAAGTTAGTAATAGTAGCTGTCTTTTGTTCTTTGGAAGATTTCACTGTTTCAGTGCTTCTCCCACCTGCCCCATTCCTACTGCCTCCCTACAAAGGGAGCTGCATGGAAGGAGGGAGGAGGGGTTGAGGTGTAGAGGGAGGTTAAGTTTGAGAAGGGGAAGGGAACACTTTGGTTGTCTGAGGAAAAAAGTTAGTCATAACAGTCTCCTTTCTCCCTTGGAAGCTTACACAATTGTTACAGTTCCTCTCCCTGTTGTCTGGCCTGTTCCCACACTGAGGCATACTGCACAAGTTGGGGGAAACAGGGATGGGAGAAGGATCCCGTCTGGCGGTTCCATAAACACAGTGCGGTGTCCCTTTGCAGTAGTGAGGGCCAGGGGCTTGTGGTGGTGATCTGAAACTTCAGAGAACAAAATCAAGTTGTGGTTTGTCTCTTTCTTTCCCTGTCTGTTTCATCATCTTTAGGCAGCCATAGGGGCAGGATTTTCTGGTGATGCCATTTGTGTGTGTACGCGCGCGCGCGGGGGAGTCAGTTTTTGTGGTTTGCATCTCCCTTTGCATGGAAACTCAGTATGCTAGCTGAGAATATAGTCAAATCTCCCAGTCCTGTAAGCATATTTCAGCAAATTTCTGGTGTAGCAGAAAGTCCAGCTGGGTCTTGAGGTTCAATGGTAGTGCAAACCTGCTTTTTCATAGCTGACCAAACCCCTCCATTCAGCAATATGCAGAAAGGGGACCATTAGCAGAAGCATCTCTCTGGAATATAGGGTTGCTAACTTTCTGATTGTACCCCACCCCTGCCCCGTCCCTTCCCCAAGGCCTCACCCCCGACTCACTCCATCCCCTCTCCCTCTGTCGCTCACTCTCCCCCACCCTCATTCACTCACTCTTCACTGGACTGGGGCAGGGGGTTGGGGTGCAGAAGGGGGTGAGGACTCCGGCTGGGGATGCAGGCTCTGGGGTGGAGCTGGGGATGAGAAGTTTGGGGTGCAGAAGGGGGCTCCAGGCTGGGGCAGGAGGTTAGGGTGTAGGAGGGGCTCTGGGCTGAGGCCCAGGATGGGGCCAGTAATGAGGGGTTCAGGGTGTGGAAGGGGGCTCTGGGTTGGGGCAGCGGGTTGGGGGGTGTGTGGGGTGGTGAGGGCTCCAACTGGGGGTGCAGGCTCTAGGGTGGGGCCGGGGATGAGGGGTTTGGGGTGCAGAGGGGACTCCGGACTTGGGTCAAGGGGTTTGGAGTGCAGGAGGGGGCTCAGGGCTGGGGCAGGGGGTTGGGGTGCAGGAGGGGGTGAGGTGTGCAGGCTCCGGGTAGCGCTTACTTCCCAGGAAGTGGCCAGCATGTCCTTCTGGCTCCTAGGTGGCGGCGTGGCCTCGTCTGCAGGCGCTGCCCCTGCAGCTTCCATTGGCTGCAGTTCCTGGCCAATGGGAGTTGCAGAGCTGGCGCTTGGAGAGCGCGCAGAGCCCCCATGGCCACTTCCGGGAGCTGCGCTGAGCCAGTCGCTGCAGCCAACCTGACTTTTAGCAGCCCAGTCAGCTGTGCTGACTGGAGCTGCCAGGGTCCCTTTTCGATCAGGCATTCCGGTTGAAAACTGGACATCTGGCAACCCTATTGGCATAGATTGCTAGATCTCTGTCACTGGACTAGAAAGCCACTTCTCTTTTTCATTCTGGTATCTTGAAAACTGCTATGTTCTCCTATCTTTAAAAAAAAATTGCAAAGGGTAACAGTCCCTGGAAGAAAGTGCCACCCACAGCTCCCGAGACACTATGAACATTTTAAATTTTAGAAAACATTAGTATATGTATCTTACCATTAGTAGCCTCGGCTCCTTCCTCAGGGGCTGCAAAAGTTGTCTGAGGTGCCAAGACAGTTATATAATCACATTCCTGGAATGCTGAGAAGTATCAATACTGTGGCCTTCTACGGCAAAATTATGTTATTATGGGGAGGGGTGGGGCGGATTTCTCGGCTTCTTCTGAAGGAAAAAGTATATAATTCTATTGTCTTTGAATTGGCAAGACTTTCAGCTCTCAAGAGAGAAAACATTCCACCAGGAGGGCAGGAGTAGCATCCCAGAGACAGCAGAAGCTGGTGGAGAAGGACCCTGGAAGAGCTGCTCATAGGGATGGACAGGAGGAACCAGGAGCAATTTGAGTTCCTCAAGGCACAGAAGGAGCTGACTCTTCAGCAGGAAGAGAAACTGATGAATTGGTTCATGGAGCTGGAAGCACACCTCAGGGTACAGGAGCATGCCGTAATGGAGAGGTACGGATCTGGTGGCAGAACAAGTTCAGGGTCCACCTGCTGCTGTGGCTACTGCATATCTATGAATGGCTACCACCTTCTCTTCCAGGGTGCTGCAAAGGGGGACGATCCAATACTCCAAGTGACCATGAGGAGCCTTCAGGATTCCTGGGACCACATCCTCCACAGACACCCAAAACCCCTCACAGGGGAACATCCATGAACATCCGGGAAGGGAATGATGATCCTGGGGGAATCCCTGAAGCCCACCAAGTGTCTGCCTCCCAAACCCCACACAGGAAACATCCGTGTTTGTCCCCAAGAACAATTTCACCCCATCATTCCCCCCTTTGTTGGGAGGAAGGGAGAGCAAGGGGATGGGTTCAGAGACATTAACATTTGGCCATTATTCATAGATTCAGTCCAATTATGTTCTGTTGGTTTACGTTTCCTTTTTAAAATATTTCAATTATTTGTTCCAGTACTTTTAATACATTTTATAGTTTCCTTGACTTGTGTGGGGACCCTCCTTCCTCAGTATGATGAAGGTCTGATGTTTTCAGGCTTAGAATTGGGCCCTATAATTCACAGCACATGAACTGCAATGGTATAATTGTCAGGTGCCATTATATTGCAAACACTTTTCTGTCCATCCCTTCCCCCCCATTGCCCCCCCACACACACACGCCTTGCAGGTTAAGAAACATCTGATGTCCCAAGGATGCATGGGAAGGATGGGGAAAGTGCATTGTCAGGAGCTTACAGAAAGCCCTTGTAGTTCTAAAAGTTCTCACAACACAGAAAATGGGCAGATGAATGTCTTTATGGTTTGGTTTACATACAGAAAAATGTAACACAGTTAAAGAAACGATACAGGCATCTGTCACAAACCACTGATTGAATGTCCCCTCCAAAGCGTGACCAGTTTCAACCTTATTAGAGATTACTGCTCCATAACAACTGCTAAGTGTAGTTAGGACTGCCAACAATGAACAGTGTGGGGGGAGGAGGGGGAAGAATAGATGAAACAAAGAACAACAACAAAAAGGTTAATAAGGTAATTAAGACAGACTGAGTGCTCCCAGTAAAGATTTGTTTAAAACTGTTAACATTTAAGACAAAAGCATCCCACAATGACCACATTACAACTCAGCCCGGACCCTCCACAGCAGAAAACCAACCCTAAGGCGATAACCCAGTGGAGATGCCCTGTTACAATTGCCTGTAATGGGTGAATAGTCACAGGAATTAATGGCTAAATGACTGGCGGGGGGGGGGTGGGGGGGGAAATCACTCCAAAAGCTATGCAGCCCCACAAGTATGTGCCAATATTCCCTTGCATGCTTTTCCAGCAGCTGTGCAAGGTGTGAAGTTGTCCCTCAGCATAGGTAGAGGTCACCTTTGCCCCCCTGCTGTGCCCACATGTGTGCACATCTGGCATCTCTGATTTCCCTTGCCCACTGGGAACCAGGACCAGTGCACATGTGGGTGGGATACAGCTGCCTGTAAACCAGACTTGTCCTGTCCCCACTGGAGCTGGAAGCACTCCCCACTGCATTCACAAAAGTTATGGCATGTGCAGCAGGAGATTATTATGCAAGTGGCATTGGTCACATAGGCATCCAGATGGGTGCATGGGCAACACCAACAAGATTTCAGCAAATATGCACTCCACATGCTGCAGCTACTGAGTTTGCAATTGGACTCCTTTTTTCCAGGGTCATAGATGTCAGGGTATGGTTTCCAAGTTAGGAACAAATATAAAATGAAAGTTGGCACAGCCAAACCAAAAAGAACCATATCAGTTCTGGAGAATAAAGTTCCTTCTTCACCCTTCAAATACAATCCCGCCCTCCTCAGCACCCTGGTGTCACAAACCTTTCCAGTGTTTCCCACATTGGTATTTAGGAATCTACCTCTGTGGTCCACTAAGCCTTGAAGAACCAGTGAACCTTTTTAGCTCACATATTCGCTCGCCCCTTTTGGATGGCAAAGTATTGGGATGTGTGTGCCATCGATGGCCCCTGCACAGTTCAGAAACTCCATCCTCTGAAATCCAGCTATTATTTCCAGAACTTTGCTTACAGTAACCATCCCTGGGGTAAATCACGGTGCCTTGCAAACCTGCACTACCTTGATCTCGCCAATGGACTTTCCAACCCCAAAGTAGTTTGCAACTAACCTATTGCAGTCTGGTGTTGCCAACTTTCACAGAGCAATAGCCATGCACTTCTCCACTGGTATGGCTTCCCTGAATCAAGTGTTCTGGTGCTGGGGGCATAAGCTCATCACATGGCTCCAAGGAAGTCGGTTTCCTCATTTGGAAGTTCTGAAGCCATTGCTGGTCATCCCATATTTCCAAAATGATGTGATCCCACCACATCTGACATAGGCGCCAACTTCTCCTGGCGCCAATGGGTGCTCGACCCCCTCCCGCCCCTGCCCCGCCTCCATTCCAACCCCTTTCCCAAAGTCCCCCACCCCAACTCTGCCCCCTCCCTGCCCCTATTGGACTCCTTCCCCAAATCCCTGCCCCGGCCCTGCCTCTTCCCTGCCTCCTCCCGAGCGCGCTGCATTCCTGCTCCTCCCCCCTCCCTCCCACAGCTTGTTACACTGCAAAACAGTTGTTTTGTGGCCGCAAGCGCTGGGAGGAGAAGTGGGTACGCAGCATGCTCAGGGGAGGAGGTGGAGGTGAGCAGAGCTGGGGCGGGGAGCTTGGCTGCTCCCACTTTTTTCCAGTGGGTGCTCCAGCCCCGAAGCACCCACGGAGTCAGCGGCTATGACATCTGGTGTTCCTGAACAAGAAGCGACAGTCCACCCGAGGGCATACTGTGGCAATATCAACATTCACCGTATCTGTTCCATGGGACTTGAATGGATTGTCATTCCTCCTCAAGGTCAGCTGTCTTTGGCGTGTTGGAAAGTTCTGCCCAAATTCCATCCTGCATCTCGCCAATTGCTTACTCCATTGCATAAATGTTTGTCCTGGAATAAGCAGAAGCAGAACCACATCATCATCCAGTTGCTCCATTTGTTCCACCCTGCTAAACAAGAGGGAGACATGAGCAAGAACTGCCATTGGCACAGTACCAACAACACACACAAAAGCGATTCCTAGAATGTCTCCCTGTGATGCACAGAACCTTGGGATACTACCTCTGAAACAGATCATAGAATCATAGCATATCAGGGTTGGAAGGGACCTCAGGAGATCATCTAGTCCAATCCCCTGCTTAAAGCAGGACCAATCCCCAGACAGGTTTTTGCCCCAGATCCCTAAATGGCCCCCTCCAGGATGGAGCTCACAACCCTGGGTTTAGTAGGCCAATGCTCAAACCACTGAGCTAAATGGTAGAGCTGTCATATAACAACAGCAGCAGTGTGGATGTGGGCATACATGTGTACACAGTGTTATACCCGTGTCCAACACAACATAAGTGGAACATATGTGAGGATGTACACTGTCTAGTAAGCTTGTGCGCTGGTGTAGACATAGCCTAAATAGACAAGATATACACAAAGTTGGAGGGGAAAGGACATAACATGCAAGCAGAATTAACAGAGAAATTCCACACTTTAGTTCTCTCTTTGTTTTTAAAATTTTGGGTGTTTTTTTTTTAATTTTACATTCATTCTATCTATCTATCTATAGAATAAATGTAAAATAAAACATGCACTATAAGGCAAGGGCATGACAGAAGGGAAGACAGGAAGGGATTATTGACATGAAAATCAAAGGAAGAGAGGTAAGGGGGATGGAGGAGGAAAGAATGGAGAGGAACATGAAGGACAGGTGGAGCAAGACTGAAGTGAGAAGACAGAGGGGGAAGAGCAAGCAGCCAATCAGCACAGAAGCGGAGAGAATTTTCAGAGTAAAAAGTCTGATGACATCATCGGTGTCCATGTTGAAACTACTTCTACAGCTGCTCCTGCCTGCTTCAATCTCTGGCTGACTCTACCTTGGACAATGTTTATCCATCCCTTCCCCTAGCCAACATAGCTTTGGAGGCAATAGGGGATTGCGGGGGGCTGGGAGGAGGAAAGAGTGGCATTCCATGGGGCTTGTGTCCCTGGAGATGGGTAGTGCGTGAGAGTGATTTTGCTCTACTACAATGCTAAAGTGGAACTGAAAATAAATTGATAAAGAAAAAACACTTATTTAACTGCAGTTCTGCTTCTGCACAACTCTAGGCTAAAAATAGAAATGTACTGTTAAATGAGTCAGGATGTGCATTTCCCATTCAGGATGTGTTTACAACTACATTTCTGCCTGTGTGCAAATCCCATCCACCAGCACAGAATGAATTAACGTCATGTTCCCCCTACTTTCTTTAAATGGAAAATATTAATGCAAAAACTGAGGGCTAAATACTGCCCTGTATTACACTGTTGCATTTGTGGGGAAGATGGTAGTGTAAAAGGTTCTTTTCCAACTAGCATTTCCAAACAAGATCATGGTGGGACATCAACCTACCATGCAAGAGCATGGGGAGGGGTGCACCAGTTACTGTGCAGAAATTGCCTCAAAATGACTTGACCTATCGACTAAGGGGCATGGTCAGGTCACCAATTTCCCAGTGCATGCGCTGGTGTTGAGATGAGCTACATGCAATCCAGCCATGTTAATCCATCTACAATGCAAATGCACCCATGTACAATGTTAATCCATCTACAAAAAAACAGTTTGGGGCGGATGAAGATCAGAAGGTTTGCCCATTGAAGCTTGAAGTATGCATTGGGGAATCAATTGACTGGCTTTTCCAAAGGCTCCAGGTTTGCTTAGCAAAGCCAGTGTAATTCCATCATAAACACAATGCATAAAACAAATGATCTATCCTGAAAATCTGCCAACCAAGGTCTTGGATCCTAGGAGTTATTTTTTGAAAATATTTTAAGAGGATTGGATGGCTTTGTGGCAGAGGCAACGCATGGGGGAGGGGGAATGCAGGGTCATGTGTCTCCCCCTCCCCCCCGATTTGTTGCTTGGCTTGCACTGAGCATGTTCACAAGGACTGAGCATGCTCAGTAACTCTGTGGAAACCGGCTGCCCGCACTCCACCCCTCCACTATTGGCAGGCACAGGTAGTCTCTGATTTGTGGATGGTGTGAATGAGATAACCAGTTCAAACAGCTTTAGGGCATGTCTACACATACTGCGCTGCAACGGGCAGCTCGGCTCTTACAGAGCCCAGGAGTCAGGGAGCACAGCAGCCCCCGGCGCCCAGGTAAGCCAGGGTGTATTTTTCCCGGACATGTTCGGCTTTTTGGAAATTCCCCCCGGATGGGGGTTTGATTACCAAAAAGCCGGACATGTCCGGGAAAAAACTGATGTATGGTAACCCTACACTTTCCCTCCGTGCTTCTGCTTTCTTGGCCTTCTGCTGAGGTGCGCTTATGAGGTCAGCAATCATCTCCTCCCCCATCCTCTTTTGCTT